GCAGGACTGTTTAAAATCTCTTCAACGTTCAACGTAAATATGTATGAAGGTGAATAAACAAAGGTTAAAATCCCAAACATTTTTACGTTAAGCCATTTTTATGATTGTTTACAGTGAGTGCAATGGCTTAACATTCATCTACTCAGAAAAGCTAATACACTAAATTCCAAATGGTCTGGATCTACTAAAACAAGTGCGGAATGTTAAAGTAACAGCAATCAACAGAAACGGTACAGTAAGTTGTTAGAACAAAATTTATAATCTGCTTAATAGTGTATTTGGTTTAGATAAGTATTTAGTTTTACTTTCCTCTTTTTGACATGCATGTCTTTTTGAAAACATGGTTGGAAATATTGCATGTATACAATTGATTTAATAATACTTACAAGCAGAAAAATATCACAAAAAGTCTCTTCTCTCATCATGGGCACTTGTTCCAAAAATCCTCTCTTTTTTCTCAAGCTCACCTCAATTGACTTTGGGGTCATTTACCATAGTCTAACCACTTCACAAAGGTTGTTGATACATTTTTAATAAAAATTAACCCTTTGTAGTTCATTTTTAGAATTATGCCCATCCTTAAAAGAAAAACACAAACTTAAGTAGAGAGTAATTTAAACAAAAACATCACTGTTAAGTTCATGCCCAATGCACTCATTTTGTTGAATTAAACTAATCAGAGTAACAGTTCACCTTGAAGCCAGGATCTCTGGAACTTTTCGTTTCCTCTTGAGAGAATCCATGTTTTCTAAAAGTACTGGGAGATATATCTATCCTCCTAAAAGTAAAGAAAGTACACAGATATAATCTTGCTCATAAGAAGAATTGGAAGTTTTCAGATTAAATGTCATTTAAAGCGGACTGATATTTCCAAAGGTACTTAAAACTCCCCAGATTTTTCTTTTTCGCTGAAGCTAGTTAAATACTTAAATTATTCCAGAATTATTCCAGAGTTTAAGAGAAGGAAATCTGAAATACCCCTGAAATGTTAGACAGTGTCTAATGGCACCAACCTGTGGATTTCAGGGCTCTTTTTGTTTTTAGCTGCATCTTGTTCCATTCCTTTCTTTAGATATTTGGTAAAGCGTTCATTCAGTGTCATTCCTGAAGACCCAAAGTGATGCTCTGTTGGGGGTTTGAGTAAACAATGCCAAAGTATTAACACCATTTTTTGTAAAAAGACAAAGCACATCAGTCACAGAGCTTGGTCAAATTCACGTGCAGGACACGAGAAGCACACTGGTGATGAGGACTAACTAATGCTGCTGACAAATTTCAGTTTCAATCTTGACATTAACGATTTATTCACTAGAATACACAAATTCTAAGTCACAGCCTCTCTGACTATTGCTCCGGTAAAAACAAGAATGCCTCTTCTGCCTTTCCAGAAGAAGAGTCATTTACATAAATAAAGAATACTCATGATTAGGCTGCTATTCTCATTTATGGCATATCTGCTGGAAAACAACTCTTTCAGCATTAACTAGAGTGCATGAAACCCAATTATTTCGGCAAAGGAGGAGTGAACCTTCATCTGAGGATATGTGGACTTCCAACCTACCTCTTACATGATGGACTATAGTCACTATATGTTGAGCAAACAGTTCAGAAGGACTTCGCTGAGACTGAGCAGACTGAATATGATGGAAAATCGAACGAAATTCTTGCTCTTTTTTGTTGCTGTGCACAAGGTCACGAGACAGCTTGCGTTCCTGAGCCAATATGCCACTTGGACTACAAAGAGAACAGACCACGTGAAATAGAAGAACAGGGTAAAGGGAAGGAGTTTAAGGTGATTAATGTTTCAGAAGTTGGAAGGTGACTGCACTTTTTTATGTAGTATTATGAAGGCACCCAAGAACATTCAATAGCATGAGCAGGACACTGATTTAAGCATCTCTCAAATACACGGATCTAGGTTACTGTAATAATTCAGATCACTTGTTATTCTGTATTTGGAGGGCTGTGTGGGTGTTAAACCCTGACATCCTGTGAAACACAAGCCCGTTCTTACACCACTAGTTGGCTGTGGTCTTTTGCTACTGTTCCGAAATTCTAGATTAACCTCTTAACATCCCACAGAGCATATTAATGCTTATGGGCTATTGCTGTACAAATTTATTTTCTGGAATACCTTTTTACTGTCTTAAGATTTCTTGAAGCAATGCTGAAGTGGCTTTCAGAGCTTCCTAGAGTTTCAGTAACGCAATGTTGAGAATAAGAGTAGTTAAACACACTCCAGAGAATCAAATATCATTTAAGCAGCACTGTAACTTTACCGTACCACTAAGCTTCCAGCAGCAAGAAGCCACTGAGTACCTCTTTCCAGAGCCTGGTGTAGTGTGGAACCTGATGCACATGCATTTATATTCTGAACTAATCTTACATCTAGTCGTAGAAAAGATTAGAAAAAGTCATTTAACCTTCATGTTATACTTTCACCATCTGCAAACCGGTAACCCCTCTAACCTCCCACCAAAAAAAAAAAAAAGGGTCACACAAGTATTATAATGCCAGAAAAAAATTAATCTCCATCTCCAAAAAATAAAAATTGTGATGTGATATTATTTAGCCTTCCTCACACTTGGCAAGCATATGAGGATCTCGGGAAGAGAAACAGGAAAAAGATCACTATTTAGACTTCTCAAAAAAATAGCAAATACTTACCGTGCAAGATCTTCATCAAAGGAATCCATTCGAATATTGACCTGGGCCTCCCGTGTAATGGAAAAAGAGGATTTGCCAGGAGCTAGCCCCTCTACTTTGGTGCCTGGTTTCTCCTTTACCTCAGAAGCCTTCCTTGGTGGGGGGGAAGAACTTTTTTCCTGGCTTGATTTGTAAGTGGTCACTCTGAAATTCTTTTCAGGAACAAACCCCCTGTGACCTGGTTCAGCTCTCTTGGATGCTGGTCTCTCTTCTTTTTTTGCTCTTTCAGAATAGCTTTCCTCCTCCATTTCATCAGGTTTCCTTTGCTTCTCTTTTCCAGGTGGCAAGAACACCACACCTTCCCATTTTCCTGGCCTATCCTCTTCTTGACTTTTACTTGAAGTTGCTACGACTTTAGGCATAAATTTGGGCTCATCATCAAATTCCGAATCTTTTCGGCCCTTTGCCTTGTCTTTCTTTTCCTGCTCGTCTGTTTCCTCTTTGCCATAATGACCTTCCTTATGGAACTCCGGGACCTTTAGCTTGTCAAAGTCGTCCCGGAACTTGTAGCGCTTGGGCGACTGGCTGCCACGGTATCCCTTCTCGGAGTCGGCTTTGGATGCATAGGTTTCAGATTTTGCCTTTCCATCTGTTGATCCCAACTCAGAGAAATTCCCTTTTTCTTTAGTTTTTTCTTTTTCAACATTTGTTACTTTCTGTTCTTTGTCTTTCCCATTCTCAGTCTTCTGCTCTTCCAGATACCTGTTCGTAAAAGAGACGTTACAGTAGTTCTCTTATTAAAAAAATCGAAGAGGTTATACTTCAGTTGAAAGCAGGCAAATTTTAGAGAACACAAGCTATGCATATACAGAAAGCTGTCTCTAGGCCCTAAAATAGTTAAAATGTAAAGTGGATCACTCAGCCTGGATTTAGACTTTTAGTTCTCAATAAATTCAGCAAATGTAGAAGAAAATGGATATGCAGAACTGATGAAATGAGGCTTAAGAACAAATAAAAAACAGCTTACCCACAGATTCATTTTAAGGAAAATAGTAACATCTTACCCAATCGGTTTATTTACTTACAAACCTGGTTCAGGAGAACAACACATCAAAACTTTCAAACTGGGCTGTTCTGCTTTAAACAACACACTGGAAATAAAAGCCTCAAAAGCTACTTCAAATTTTGGATGCAAGTTTCATAGGTAAGCTAAATATTTCATGACAGACTGTAAATACAAATAAAAGCAAAAAGGTTAACAGAGGAGAATATTTATTTTGCCTGGAGAAGACAAAACACTTCCAGTGAGAACAACAATTTAGCTAGTTTAAAGCATCAGAACTATGTTTTAAAGCATTCATTAAGCAAAACCCTAGCTTTGAGGAAATAGCAGTAAAGGCCAAGGACATTAGTTCAGTGCTTTGGAAAGCCCAAACAGGAGTTGCAGCTTTTTTTTTCCCCCCTTTTTCAATTTCAGACATCCTTGATATAAGATCAGTTCAAAAACACTTTAAAAATAATAAAGAAAAGATTTAATAGCACTTGCGAATGCTACCATATCTTTTAAAACCAAGTGTCAACTTCAGGCACGAATCTGCAGTGGACTAACCAAGCAAACAGAAACATGGTAAGTTGATGCTTTCTGTATGGAAGGATGTCTTAATTTTAGGGATGATCTTGATGCTTTAGTTTCTCATACTACCCGCATACACAGGCACTGCAACTACACCTGCCTTAGGCTGCCTGCAGCAGGACATGCAGTAAGGTTTAATTAAATTTTGCATATCTAATATTTTTTTTCTAATAATATATATTATATATATAAATAAAATCTAATATCTTATCTAATAATTTTGCAATATCTAATGCAATTCAAGAATGCAATACTAAAAAAATGTCTTTAACTGAAAAGTAAATAACTTAGAAACAGAAAAGCTTCCAGTGTGCACTGTTAGGTTGCTAAAAAATCCCATGGGCACATCTTCACCTCAAGCGTTCACGAGCTATGAACGTTTCTGCAGGGAACCTACGCAATCTTTAGCACTAATCAAGTCAGAAAACTAACTCCAACTTCCTACAACACAGGGCCAGGTCTGTATTTTGTTCTTTAATTTAGACAGTACCAGGCCCAAACAGCTGGCAGCCTCCTAGCAGGGCACCCTGCAGAATGGGGCCTCATTCCAGCTGGAGCCTGCACACACACGGAGAGCCCTTACAGTGCTCATGGAGAGCGCCTACACGTGGAAGCTGCCCTGTCAAAAAATACTGCAGCACAACAAAACGTATCACTTGCCTTTTTGAGAAGGCTCCTCCTCCAGGAGCTGTGGTTTCCTCCTTCTGAGATGTACTGTAAATCGAACTGATTGGTGTTGGACTTTTGCACACAGGGCTCTTCCTTGTTGGGCTCAAACCTGCCGAGCCATGGTCAAATGGACTCTGATGAGAGCCTGCCTGAAAGGAGGTGCTGCTGCTTTGTAAAGCAGAGCTCATCTGTGATGGGCTGGACAGCGGAGGGCTCGACTTTTGCAATGGACTTGGCCGAGGAGAACGACGCCTCACCACAACCGACTGGAGAGGGCTTTTTAACGCAGGACTGCGTTCCCTTGGGCTAAGTTCAGACACAGAAGCTCTTGACGTTGAACTTGTACCATAGGTGGTCATATCTTGCCATGGTTTTGATCCCTCAGATGCCTTGACGTCTTGAGCCACTGCTCCTGAAAATGGCTGCTCCTTAGACTCATCACCTTGATTATCTCCTGCAGCCTGAGATGCCCGGGCATCCTTGGAAGATGACTTTTTCTCCTTTCCAGATTTACGCTTAGAAGACTCAACTCGGCTGTGATTTGAGGAAGATCGGGAAGAGGAAGACCTCCTTGACCGATCAGAAGATGACTTATCAGAATTTCTAGAATGACTTCTAGACCTTGGTGAAGGAGATCTTCTCTTGGGTGAACGAGAGCGTGACCTCCCTCTACGAGGGCTATACGCTTGGCGATAATTTTGCCAGTTTGACCTGTAATTCCCATATCCTCCTCGGTTATACTGGCCCCATGGATAAAACCCTCGATTTCGGCCACGAAAATAATACGGTCTCCTGTATCCTCTATTATGACCTCTGAAATCCCGGTTCTGATAGACTCTCGGATGGTTCCTTTCTCTGTTATGAGATGGAGAATATGATCTTGAACGGGACCTAGAACTGATAAAAGAAAAAAATTACACAACTATGTTGAAGTTTATTTTTCTGTCACAACATTTTATTCAAAGCCTTATAAAAAAAGAACTTGAAAAATTCATTTCTAAGCTTTTAGAAGTAATTTCTTTGGTCTACCCTCATCCAATTGAGGTATTACACTTTGCTCTCAATAAATTGCAGTGGAAATAACTTGTATCTGTGATACTGCCAAACAAATATTTGACTTCAGGATCACTGCGGAGACCATGATCAGTACACGCTGCTCTTCCTTTTTGGCTGCTATCCAGCTTCAGAAAAAGTGACATATCTCAAGCTTCCAGCCCTTTACAACTCAAGGTCAAGGTTATACCTCATCTTAGATCTCCTCCACAAAGTAGTATTTCTTTATGCACATCATGCTACCATTATTGGAACAGATCCAAAGTCTTCCCGTTGTGTCCCGCAGTTATCTCATGTGCTTTTGAAATTCTGATCATCAAGATGAAACCCCACTTCTTTGCCAGGTGAGTTACACAAATTGCTACACCTCAACATGAGAAGAGCAGTACTGGAGCAAACGGCACACTGCTTTATAGTTTTAAGTTTCAAACAGTGCACCCCTTGCCACAATGCAGAAGCTGGAGCTCCAAACAAGCGGGACAGCAGAAGGATGTGCTCGCTCTCCAGCCTGACACCGCGAGATGGCACTGTTCGGTGTCCCTCTGCTCGCCTCCACACCGTGCAAGAACATTCATAAAGGACAGAACTGAATTCAAGACAAGTACAAAGCCTGTAAGAATACAGATTTCAGTGGCAAAACATTAAGGGCTAATTGTTCCAGTAGTCTCTTCCACTAAATTTATGGGGCTGCAGCTGGGTAACCGTTTAAAAGCCCTGCTGTAGCTCAGGATTAAATGCCAGCTTGACAGTAAGTATTTCACAGCTGTTTGAAAAGCACAAACTTCTGCTGAAAGTCATAGATTTTAGCAATTTTGCACTAGTAAAACAGAGAAAGCGTCCAAACTAGTAACTTCAAATAGAAAAGAGATTTTTCCAAATGGAATTCTAGTAAATAATATTCATTGAAACCATTCCCACAGTCCCTTCTTACATTAAGACAGAGCCAGTCAGCTCTAGAACTCTCACCGGTCATACGTCCATACACATGCACTGCTTTTACAGACTGGCAATACACAACTCACTCCTGCGCCCTCTCCGCTCACACCCCAAAACCCCATAACATGAGGGAATACAACGCTGCTGTTAGAATTCCTACAAGATTAGCATACACCCATGCAGAGATGAACTTTAGTTCTGTTTTTAGTTTTTCCACCTATCAAATACGTTACAGTTTAGCAGGGAACAATTTATTCATACTATAGTCCTTGCTAGCAAACAGTTTAATGATAATTTTAACATATGCTTCATGTTTTACCTCAAACAACCAAAAACTCTGCAACTTATCTGAGACACTTCCTAATTCGAACAGCAACGGCGAGAAGGGAAAGCACAGAGGCAGACGGCAAGAAACAATTATAACGAGCGCTAGTCAAAAGCGCTAAGAACACATACGCTCCCATTTTCAGATAACTGCTACATTTGTGATCAAGTACCAGCAAGGGACCTGTTGTACACTGCTTCCAAAGTCTGTTCTATCATTTTAGAGAGGCTTGCAGCAGGAAAATTTCACTCCAAAAGTTCCAGAGATTATTTACAAGAAATCTTTTCAGAAAAATACAGTAAACATTACGCAAAAGAAACACTGCAAGTAATAATTCTCCCAGCTCTGCCAGCCCCTGTAGCTAGCCAGCTAATACACCCTGCTCCAGTTCTAAAGCACCTACCATTTTATAATAGGTAAAAATGAAAAATAAAGTCATAAAGAAAGCAATAAATATTAGGCAGGCTCCAACAAGGCAATACAACTTAGAACAAACAGTAAAGCTACCAAATGAAGAGTAAAACAATTTTTGTGGTGTATGCTGAAGTACACAATAACAGACTTTTATGCCAAGATACCATGAGACCTACCTCAGAGCATATCCTAACGCCATGCAAGATGACTTGCCTGTACTAACCCCCTCCATTTTGATTCTTTTTTTTTTAAAAAAAAGGAGTTATTTACAAAGCAAAAGTAGATTCAGCAGCAGCATAGAGGAAATGATCATGTTTGCAAAGGGTGCCTTTGTTTTCAACTGTGAAAGTTCCTTCATAGCTAGGCAGATATTCCCAAATGACCACGTATCTTCCAGCATTCCAGCTTCCTTCTGCAAAGAACTCTGACTCAAGTCTCCACCTCTAATTTAGTTTTGTCATGTCCTTCTCTCTCCAACTGTACAATTATTAGAGCCTCTGCATTTTAAAAATCTCTCTAATTGTTAACAGTTGCATGTGTTTACAGCCTAATGATTTTCAGAATAAGCGTTATTAATTTAAGATTAGTGAAAAAGCAGCTGAACATCATTATACCCAGTCCAATGGGAATGTCTTTGCCAGATATAAAATGCTTAGCCAAAAGAAAAGGAAAAACAGATAATCCTGATATCCAGGGAAGAGATGAGCCTTTAACTGGCCTGACCAGAAGCAATTCGGGGAGGTAAGAACAACTATTATGAACATTAATGATTTCTCAAAATCATAACTGCAGTGACATTAACTTTATCTACTTTATCCATCCAGAATGATCATTTCCCTTAACTGACTCCTGTATACTGAGGGGAGGGGCAGGGAAACAACGACAAAAATTGCCCCTACCTTTCATAGCAATATCTTAAACTGACATTAAAACTCATCTGAATTCATTTTTAGAAAGAGGAAGAAAGCATGCAGTGTCCGCAAAGGCCCCTTTAAGTCTGGGATCAATTAAATTAAACACTTAAATAAAGCCAAAGATGTTTAACAAAACAAAGGAGCATGTTTTGCTACGGACCTTCCCAACTCTTCCTCCCCACTCTGACTGTGGAACACACACTTAAACTCTCTCACAGCAGTAAAGCAAGTGTCTGCTCAAAAGCATTTCAAATCTCACAATAATCTCAGGCCAGGATAAAGCCCTATGATTTGTGCACTTTGTCTGCTTTGGCAATTTCAAACACCATCATTAACCATGAGTACTTTTAATATAGGAAAATGGACCTCAGAGATTGTGCATACTTAGCATTAGGAAAAGCACAATAGGCTATCCCATTACATACAGCAGCGATTAAGAACTGCAGAAGAACACGGGAAAAAACCCACATGCACTTTGACACGGGCTTCTATTAATACCTTTGAGGAAAACCAAAGTATATAGGTCTTCTCTAAGGGCCCAGTCTAACACAGCTGTAACAACTCCACTGTGGACTGTATCCCTGCCAAAATGACCCATACTAACAAAAACACCTTCTGATTTAACTGTACATTAGAGTATCTGTTAGTACTCATATTAGGGGAAAAAGACTTGCACAGAAAAGGGAAATTATTGTTCACCAAAACCATGCTACAGAGACCAGATTAAGGGCTCAAAAGAAGTATCTTGACAATGTGGAGAAACAGCCACAATTCAAAACAGTACAGGTTGGCAGGAAACAACCTAAGACACAGGACACTATCTGTCCTAGAATCTAATCGAAGTCTTTCCCTGGAAAAGAATTAAGTGACAAAGCACCTGAACAGGACAGAGAGGAAAAGCACAGTTACACCCTCTGGCTTCAGAGCTGCACGCACTTACCTAAGTCTGCGTTTTCTCGACCGTGAGACAGAACGAGAACGGGAGCGAGACTTGGAGAAGGAGCGTGAACGCGATCTTGATCCAGACCTCGAACGAGAAGAACGGGATCCAGATTTTGATTTGTTAGTTTTAGACATCTTTGCAAGCACCTGTCAGTTGTACCTGAAGGAAACAGGGAAATAAAAGTATTTGAAAAATGAAGTCATGCGGCAGATTTGAGAGAACAGGCAACATCTGGCAACCTGACAAACTACAGAGTGACATGAAGCTTGATAAGACTGGAAATATGAATGTTTGAAGTGGCTGTCTAATAACAGATGAATGGTGTTGGGCTCAGAATAGAAGGTTTATTTCAGTCTAAGGAGGAAATCTGCAAAAAGAATAAAAGGCTTTCAACCCAGAGTAACTGCAAATTTGAGTGTGACAGTTGAAGGCAGCAAGTTAATGCAAAATCCAGGAACAGGCAGGGGCCATGCTGCTAGCTTAAACAAGAATACCTTTAAAAGAGACAAACCATTTCATTTCAGTCACATAACTATCAATACAGCCAACTGTCACTGGTTTCAAGAACAATGAAGAAATAAAGGCTTACCATCAAAAAAAACCAAAACAACAAAAACCCCACCCCCCAAAGTCTTCTCTAAATTTTCAGAAGGAATCATGAACAAAAATGACAATCCAAGATATACGAATGTGACCCTATTTGCACAGATCTGCCTCACTATGAACGCTCAGGGTAAATCCTGGACATACGTGTCCTGTGCGGTTTGTGCAGTTGCTATGATCAGTTACAAGCACGTATCATCCAGTGAGGAGTTCTGTTGCAGCCAAAATAATTCAGACGTCCTTCCAAATATTCACAGAGACAGAAGAGATTATGCTGTAGCATTAAATGACTTGAAATAGCTATAATTATGAATTACCTGGGCTATTTTCAGGCATGCATCCAGGTAAAGGTTAAAGAGTCCCTTAAAAGGTGTTTCAGGGAATACAGTTTGACCACACAATTGTTTCAGTTACACCCTACCTGATCTGTTCTCTTGTAAACATCAACTTTGTATCAACGAGCAAGATTTTCTAAACAATTTTCATCACCTCTTAACCTCCAGGGAAAGAAAAATACTCAGGACTATTAACTTAAGAGGGGCAAATGTCATATTATTTACACTTGAAGGTTGGTGCAAACTGTGATAAAATTCAAGTTGCTGTATTTCTTTCAGCTGGTCAGATTTTCCTGTCAGTATCCAAAAAAGTCAAATGCGTAACACACAGTTTTGCAGTTTCCAACAGGGACCTCCACAAACTTTCCCCTTCATGCCACCAACAACCTCCTTTTGTGACCTCCCTTCCAGAAAGGGCTGCGGAAGCAAATCCAGCATACCAGAGACGGGGCGGGAGAGCTCGAGTGCCTTTGCTGTCGAGCCATTACAGCGCTTCTCAACTTTAGTAATAGCTGACCTATTTAACCACTGTATCCAGCCATAAACAAAATTCCTTACAATTTAAAATTTGATCATGCTGCAAAATATCTTCCAGTTTTTGAATCCCTGTTGGTTCCACGATAGTTCTTCAGCTTAAATGGAAAATGCTGTGCCCCTGACTTGGCGAGGAGGAAGGGGACTCCGCTCTCTTGCTCCTCAGACTAAATTGCCAGTCTCTTTTATTTCCATTCCTAGAAACCGGAGGTTTCAGTAGTGGGCTGGAAAAGGGACTAAGGGCTCGTTTGAGTTAAGTGTTTGGATTGTCGAGTATTCCACATTAGCACTTGGTATCAAGATTTGAACTCTGCAATTCCAGAGGTAGCTGACGAAGCTGAGAAGAAAACCTGCTCTCTTTAAACAATACATAAGTTTCATTCACAACATCAGAAGCAATTTATTTAGCATTAAACAGAATTCTTTAGGAATTTCTACACGAAATTACATTTTGTCCCCTCAAATTTAGTAAAATACTGCGTATCTCTCACATTACTTACGGAAGCTCAAAATACACAAGAGCCACAAAGGATCATATAGTAAAAATCTAATCGATGTTTTTAACATATAGAACAGTCCACAAATGTCTGTGGCTTTGAGACCCCTTAACAATCTGCTCGATGTAAGTAAGCAGAAGTCCTTGGCCTCTGCTGCCCTAGGAGAAAATAAAATAGACACTGTGCAAGTACACAAGGTCATGGAGTCTCCGAGAAAACTGAGCATCAATAATTGTTGTGATGGTCCAGAGATTACATACTGTAAGTTATTTTAACTTTTTTTTAATGGCTAAAAGCATCTCAAATCATGAAATGAGCAAAGCAGCATTGCCAAAAGCTGAGCATCTGCGAAACAAACGCTCTGCAATGTTTATTGTCCACATTCTAGAAGAGGGAAAAAACTAAGACTGCTCTGGGAATTAGGAAAAAGATTGTAAAGACAAAATTTGCATTAACTGAGTATTGCATAAGAGTTATCAATAAACTTTTCAGCAAAAGTGACTAACGAATGACAGCCAGAAATGAAAAAGGAACTATATTAGTACAACTTTACCCTTTTTTTCACCTACTGATTAAAAATAGAGACATTTAGGTATATAAACACAACCAATCAAGTACTGCTGCTGCTGTATCCATTTTAAGCAAATTCCAGTGGACTGACTTGCAACGTCTTCACTTTCAGTCGCTCTCCAAAGCCAAATTACATATATGGTTACCAAATACTCCAGCCACTGCCAGGGCACTTTCAGGAACAGCACAACACCCGTCACAGAAGCAACTGCTGGGAAAGTGGGTCGTCGTTCATCATGAGAGCTGGTACTTTCCAGAAATGGGAAGTTGGCTTTTATTTTAAAAATCATGTTACATGTTCCCATTCTTCCCTTTCACTATACTAAAGATGCTGTATCAATTCAACTGAAATATTTTAATGTATTCCATACGGGGGGGGGGAGGGGGGGGGGGGGGGGATCTCAATGTTTCCTGT